GGGAGGCGCGGCCCTGAGCCGCTCCCTCCAGCCCCGCACCGCGGCGGGGTCCCCCAGCGCCCCCGGGCCAGAGGGAGGCCGGGAGTGACCGGGGGGGGAACAAATCGGGCCCGGAAGGAGAGTACGGCGCTCACATGAGGAAGCTGAGCGGTGACACGGCGTTAGTTCTCAGGTGTTGCGGTGGGGTTATTATCCTGATGTCATCCCAGCAATTAATTAGTTAGATACATTAACTATTAAATACGTTAAAATTCAATCTCTTCTTTTCTGCAAAGGGCTAAAATGATGTTAATCCCTCTACCAATATCGTAAAGTCCGGCCACAAAACTTGCTCCGTAATAGCCATATAGAGGTGTTCTCTGAATCAAAGTTTAGACACTAACATTTAATAAAATAGTGTTTTCCTGTCCCGTCTCACTAGGTCAGACTGCAAACCCAGCCTAAGCCACAGCCTGGTCAGCCTCCGCTCTATTCTGGGACCTTTGACTGCTTCAGAAAGACTCTTGTTGGAGAGGTACTGCGTTAGCATGTCGTCTGCGATGCCTGCCAAAAGTATCAGTTGTTCCTGTACGTTGCAGGAATGGAATCGTGTGGGAATGTTGCCCCCCAGAGACTATACAAATCTTGGGTTATCCATTGAATTGATTCTAATTACAGTTTTTAAGCAGATTACAAAACTTGGGGAATACTTAGCATCCACATGCTTCAAGTGCATGTCTCTCTATTTTGTTAAGAAATGCTTTTGGTTCAAAATAGCGTGATATTAATATCTGAAGTTATAGACTTGAGTGAATGTTGGCAGTTGTTTGCTGGCTTTGTTGTTGTAGTCAGTGGAATCTTGCTGTCTTTGGTATTTGGAGTTGTCTCTGGAAATCCTAAAACAGGCAATGACTTTTGTTGATACAAGCAGTACTTTTACTTTCTTCCATAATGTGTTATGCCATCTACGAGAAGGTAGAGGAGCATTAATGAATAGATTTTTTTTCTTTTTCTTTTTTTTGAGAACAGAGGGTCAATTGTAGTTGTTCAATCTGCTTCAGAAGGTGGACAGTGGTTTTCACTCCTGAATTAGCCATGTCATGTGATTGAACTGTAGTTATTTTGTTTTTAGAAAGGCACGCAGCCTTGGTTTAAAGTCTTTAAGTGACACAGAATCCAGTTTTCTGCTTCGTAAGTTTTTCCAGCAGCTATTTACCATTTGGAAACAATGGCTCTAAAGCCCAACTGTTTGTTTACTAGTCTGAAGTCTAATTTCTAACCACTGGGATCTTGTTAGGTAACTCTCTGTTAAATGAAAGATCTGCCTCATATCTGAAATCTACTTTCATTATGGTATTAACAGGTTGTTATACAACCAAAGTAAATCTTGCCTCCCTAGTCTCTCCCACAAAGTGCTGAAATGCTTTGCTAGCTCTGAATCCCTTGCGGTTTTTAACACCCCTGCTGAAGCACGGACGTCAGAGCTGAACCATAATAATAACCTTGTGATGTGAAGTTCAAAAGTAATGCTGCCTCTCTACTCCTACTCAATACTCATCGGTTTCTATAAGGAAAACTATTAAACCTCTCTGGCAAGACCTTTTGTTTCCTACTGCTCATGGGAAGATTGCGCAGGAGTGTCTGATCTTTGTCAGCCAGATGCAATTTCATTAGAGTCAGTTGTGCCTGTAAGCGTACAGACACATACTGGGATACACTGATTTATCTGGGGGGGGAAAGGAAGGGGTGGACAGACCAGCAAATATTTAATTTGTGCGTCTAGCCTTTATCTAGAAAGATAACTCTCCTTTTTATTAGAAAAAGTTCAGTTCAAAGGCAAGATAAATGAAATAAATGCTACTGCTGGGGTCTGCATTAGAATTTTTCTATGTGTGTAGTCTGATGAAGGGAAACATCAGGAACGTAAAGTTGTACGGTGCAAAAGTTTTGACTTGAGGAAGGAAAGAAAAAATAACTTGCTCTTGAACTCATTCCAAATTGAGTTCGTGTGGGGTGTGAAGTAGTTCAGGTTAGTCTTCCTGGCTCTTCCATTATCTAAAGAGTGAATTCCATTCAGCGTTCTCAGGCTCTGTGTCAGGATTTTACAATACTGCATTTGATGCCTTATTAATAAAGCACATGTACGTCTTTGTATGTATCTGAGACAGAAGACTTTTGACATAATCTACTAGGACTATTATTCCGGTAGCTTTTAACTTAACTTCCTCACGCTTGAGGTGTAAGTGCAGGATGAACAGTATTGGAACAGAAGGGTATAAGTGGTATCAGTGTTTTCCAGGAAGGATAGCTTTCCTCTGCAACAGGCCCTGAGCCTCAGCTAAACATGTATAATTGCAAATGAACAATAGACTCCATTATTTCTCTGATTAATTTGACTGGCTGACTGATACTATCCTGTATTGAAGCCTTTTGCTTCTCAATAAGGTGAAATGTGTGCAAAGTCTATGCAAAACCAAGTAATTCTTGTGATAATGTTTCTTGCAGGGAGTCCGAGGCTTATATAGAGGAATGGCAGCTCCTATTATTGGAGTGACACCCATGTTTGCTGTGTGCTTCTTTGGATTTGGCTTGGGAAAAAGACTCCAACAGAGAAAACCTGATGACATTTTGACGTGAGTTTCTGAGTTAATCAGACAGTTGGGAAAGGCACCCTAAGGCTCTTGCAGCCTGCTGTATTGTTGCACGTTGAGTTGTGGTGTAAATTTGTCCCTTCTCCTAGGTTATAAATATATCTCTAAAAAATAAAACACTCGTGTGTTTTAATGTTTCTGGAAACGTGGGACTGATAGCACGGGCTAAAAACAGACAGCATGTGGGCAGGTGCTATGCAATTCCGTTTCTACGCAAGACAGAGCCATTAAGGAACAATTCCGTTTTAGATGAGTACAGTGTGAGCTATATAATGATTGCCTGCCAACAGTCTCGCTATTAACAGAAACTATGGGCGAAATAAATTCATGGTCAAGTAGTCTTGACAGCATTCACAGTCCTGATTCTCTTTTCCCTGTTAGTTGTGACTCTTGCTGTGCTCTTATGCTTATCCATATTATTATGGATATAATAATCGTTTTATTATTAATTTATGAAAAGCATTGTGTTTGAGCAGCGCTCCTCTCAGGCATGTCTAACCTTCTGGAAAAGAGACGGAAAGCTAAGAAAACTTTGCGTGGCTTTCTACAAGCTGACTTATGCATGAAGAAAGCCCCCCACCCATAAAGTAATCCCTTAACTTCTTTGCTGAGTTGTAATTTATAGCTCTACAGGAACAGAACTGTAGCTTAGCAACGTTTTATTCTAGCATTATTCGCGCAATATGTAGGAGCCCTGTCAGAAAGCAGGAGTCCATTGTGTTGAGCCAAGCATGGTGGGGAGGTGCGGTTTCTGCTGGAGCCTTGCCTGCGCAGGGCCCTCCCGGGTGGTGCGAGTGCACCTGGCTCTACAGCACTAGCCACTGCCGTGTCACGGAGCGAGCTCCCTCTGCTCGGTTCCTCAGATGGAGGAACTGCTAGCTTACCCTCTGGTTTACCGCAATAGTGTCCTCATGCAGACGAGGCTGAAGGGTAGGACCAGGGGAACAGTAAGGAGTGGACAATACAAGGAAACAAATGGGCTGTGGGCTTATTTCCAGCAGCCTAATTACCTCAGTGCCTTCTGTTTTATACACTTCATACCAAAGGGAAGTTTTAAGGAGTGAACTGGAGAAGAGCAGCGTAGTTTTTTGAGTCTTTATGTAGAACTCAAGCAGAGCAGTGGGAGAGAAAGAACAAGTAGATGGTGGTACTGTCACTGTGCCCAGCTGTGCTGTATTGTGGGTGCAGACTTGACACAGTAAGATACAGTGTGCTTGGGATGTCAGGCCCAAAAATAAAGGTTAGACTCTTAGCACCATGGTTATGGGTCTAGAGGCAGGCAGGGTGGCAGTGGTTCCCCATGCTGATTTTGACGGGAAGTTTTGGAAGGAAGGAGATGGAGAGAAAGCTGAGGACCCTGTTCTATCTTCTCTGGGGCTGAATAATCCCAAGGTGAGCTAGAAAACTCAAAGCTTAGTTTGAGCAGGAGGTGCATGTGGAGTGATGAGGGAGGTCTGAATGGTCTGGAAGATTTAATGGGAATTTCAAGGTAAAGAAAGGTGTAAGAATTGGAAAACCTGAGTAGAATGCCATCTCTTGGGCCAGCGCAGAGAAGCGGGAGGTATGAAATTTAGTTAAATTAAGATACTAGGTCGTCTTACTAGGGAAGGTAGCAGGAGGTTGGATGTAAAGATAAGCTTGTGATGGAGAAACTCAGGGATGTTTAAGGGATTTAAACTCCCTCATGTTTAAGGGATTTCTGTCATGGAGACTTTGCCACATGAAAGCAGATGCAGAATGTATAGGATGGTAGCATGTTGGTAGGACAGACTCGATGATGGCAGAGGCTGAAGGAGTGAGGGACCGAGAGGTTACAAAAAGGAGGCTCCTGGCTGTACAAGCAGGAATGCCTGTGGTAGCTCGG